TTGTTGGAAGGAAACAAGTTCTTCAACCATTCATCCATCACAGCTGAGTCAGAAGCGTTGCGTCATCCCGTACCCGCCGACCTGCCTACCTCAGGCCCTACCCACCGGGAGCTTCCATCCTGCTGGTTGTCCTGAGGCTCTATGACCCACAGCACAAAGATACTGCAGCCTCGTCATGCCCTTTCCATTCTCTGACATCATCTTCCAGGAGTAGGAGCCCAAGCTTCCACAGCCCACCTGCTCCCACCTACTGCCACCTTCCTGCCACCACACACTGTCAGGCCTTTGTCCTGTCCCCATACCCTTCCTCAGGTCACAGGTCTTCCTGCATTCCCCCAAGCCACTTGCCTGGCCTCCCTGGGCTCTGCTCTTCCAGCACTGTCCTCCCCATCTGATGCTCCTACCAGGGTATCCTCCCTATGGTGTGACCCAGGGGGCATTCAGGCAAGTGGCCTGGCCATGCTGGACCTGTGCACTAAATAGGTTGCCTGACTCCACTCAGAGGCAGACCTACCCCAGGGGGCAATTGTAGACTGAGCTTCCACTGGACATGGCCAGACCCTGCTCTTCCTTCTACCCAGTGACCCTCGACAGGCCCTGATGTGAGCAGAGGCAGTGAGGCTGGCCCCATCTCCCTTCCTCCCTTCTTTCATGAGCATTTGTTGAAAGCCTTCTGTTGCCAAGACTGTTGGGCATGACCATTATGCCCATCTCACAGATGAGCAAACTGACACCATAGTCCTGTTGCTTGCTGGGGCCCAGCTCCTGGAACTGCATCTGCATGGAGCAGGTGTGTGCCTGCACGTGCCCACTGACTGGGGCAGGCTGGAACACAGCCTGGACTTGGAAGAAACTTGTTTCACCAAAGGGGCTCCCTGGCATTGTGGAAGCTAAGGTGATAGCTGTGGATGGAGGTCACTGCCTCCACTCTGAGGCCTTGAGAAAGTTACTTAAAGTTGAAAAGTCTCTGGGCGAGACCTCAATGTACTCATCTGTTCTAAACATTGAAGACAAATGCTGTCCCGTAATCCTGGCACTTTGAGAGGCCGAGGTGGGTGGACCACTTGAGGTCAGGAGTCCAATACCAGCCTGAACAACATGGTGAAACCTCATCTCTACTAAAAATACAAAATTAGCCAGGCGTGCTGGTGGGCGCCTGTAATCCCAGCTACTCAGGAGGCTGAGGCAGGAGAATTGCTTGAACCTGGGAGGAAGAGGTTTCTGTGAGCTGAGCTGAGATCCCACCACTGCACTCCAGCCTGGGCAACAAAGCGAAACTCTGTCTCAAAAAAACAAAAACAAAAACAAAAATAGAAAACAAAAAACAAACCTCCAAAAGACAAATGCTGGCATCATGACCCTGGATCATGCAGCCTCAGGATGCCCAGCAAAGCAGACTACAGTACGTACACTCCCCGTCTTAGCAGCAGGGAGATGGAAGCTCAGAGATATCTAGTGACCTGCCAAAGGGCACATAGCCAGTGCTGTGAAGTCCTGACTTCCAAGGTCGGTCCAAGGATCCCTCAGGCTCCATCTGCCAGGATGCTGAGCTGCTCCTGAGCCCAGCCTGAGATTCCTTGCAGAGGAAACTGTGAGCTGTCCACTACTGACTTAGCTGTGTACTCTAATGGTCATGGCTTGGCAGAGAGAATGAGCTCTCCACCATGGGAGGCGTGTAAGCAGGGATGCGTGAATTCACCCCAAGGGCTCAGAGAGCACACAGCGCTCTCTCAGGGACAGGCTGTCCCCCACTCCCCACAGCCTGGGCTGCTCCCTTGGGTGTAGCCATCCTTTCCCACGCATATCTACAAGTGTGAGTGGGCAGCAGCCATGGGTGCTGATGAACCTCCTCCAATGCTGGCAGGTACTTTGCCCACACACTGCCAGTGTGGCCTGTTGGGAGCAGGAGGAGGCCAGATAGGTGTGTGCTGGTCTCAGAACACGCTTAGCTCTGTCCCATCCTGGTTTTCCCTTGGATAGGCTTGAACACACCCACCATGAACAGGTCTGTGGACATGGTGCCCTTCCTAGACTGACTGAATCCACAAGGAATTGGTAGCCTTTTAAGGTGGGCAAGCAGGATGACCAGCCCGCTCTGCAGGGCCGGATACTGGGGCTCAGGAAGGATCAGGACTTGCCCAAGTTCACTCAGCTGGTTAGGGGCAAGGTTAGGGGGTCTTTAGCCTCCAAAGGGAAGACAAAATATCCTTTTCCACCCCTGACCTCTACCTGGAAGACTCCTGCCCCAGGAGGTGCAACTTAGATCCCTGTCCCTCAGGCCTCTCCATCCTGCAGAGCTGGCATCTGCTGTTTGGCCTCCTCCTCGTGTGAGCTCTGGGCTCATGCCAGCGGACTCGAGCCCCGGAGTGCACGCCTGTCTCACAAGGTAGATGTGAGGATTAGATTATATAAATAACAGGCAAGTGCCAAATGCATAGCCCCACACCTAGCACACTGTTTAACCACTGGCTCTCTGGGGAGAAAAGTCCTGATTTGAGGTGTTTGCCAATTTCCATAGTGTAAATACTCCCAGCATTGCTGACTTCAGGCTACAGGGTGGCACTGCTGAACCCAGAGCTAGGAAGGCATGTGCACTATTGCCCCTCACAAGTTAGTTTCAGCCAATGCCAGTGTCCAGCAGGGCTCCAGGAAGTCCTGCTTCTCTGGGTAACAGTTGGCTTGGCATATTCTTCCCTCTACATTGCGAAGGTGAGATATCACCTCTGCTGGCTTTTATGCCACATGAGTTACTTTGTGCCAGGGGCTCCAGGACCAGCAGCCCACAAGCATCTTTTCATCTCTGGAAGTGTGTGTGTATCTGGTGGGGGTGTCAGCCCAGGGAGATGGGGACTGAGATAAGAATACTCTGGTATCTCCCTTATGCCTCAGTTTCCTCACCTAGGATCATGCAGGCTGGGGTGAGAGTGAGGTGTTAGCTCAGGTCGTTGACAGGAGCAGGGCTCAGAACTTAGCAGTATGGTTACTGACACAGGTCACCTGCTGCATTATGGCCAGAGACGCCCAAGAGAGGGCTTGTCCGTGGGGGTCTAGTGGAGGAAGGACAGAGAGATCATGGAAGACTTCTTGGGAGAGGTGGCATCTGGCAGAGGTGGGAAGGAAGAACACTTTGGGTCAAGGGGCTTCTGGAAGCCTCTCCATATCCCATCCAAGGCATTCCAGCTCAGCCTCGGTCGTGGAAGTTCTGGGATTTAGAGTATATAACTTCTGCCTTTGGCGCCTCAGTTTGCTCTAGATTGTGAAATGGGCACAATGGTCACCAGTGCCTCCCTGGGTGATGATGAGGTCCTCATGGTTCCTGGTGGTGAAGTGAGGGCAGGAAATGACATGCTGACTCCCACCAGGCTTAGCCCCAGGCTGGGCTCCCGAGGGTGGCGGTACCCCTGGTCCTTTTCTTCCTAGCCTGCCCATTCTGTCCTAGCACCGGGCCCTGAGGTCTGGCGCGCCGGGCTGCGGCGTGCTGAGGCGTTGAGCCTGCTGCCTCCTCTCAGGAACAAATAGGGTCCTCTGTAGCTGACAGCCCTGCGGAGCGTTCCAAAGAACTTCAGAGGCCAGGAGCGCTACCTCGAGCAAAGAGCCGCGGGTGGGAACCCGGGTAGCCGGCCCG